AATTATGTACAACATCAAACCTAATTGAAGATAATGTAGTTATAGTAAATTTATAATGATATTGTATCATCTATTTTATTTTTATCATAGTAAGTTTATTGGTTATTATATTTTATGATAGATGAATCGTTAATGAGTATTCATTATATTACTTTATTGTTATTCATTTTATTATTCATTTGTATTGATTTTATTATTTATTAAACTTGATTTGGTAGTGTATTTATTCATTTACTTAATTATATTTATTATTATTTACATTAAATTGCATCATTTTGGTTTAATTTATAATTTGTTTGATGTTTTTATTCATCTCTCATTAGAATCTCTTTTATTTTCTTTATTTCTTATTGTTTATTTATCGTTTTCATCTATTTGTTTAATCAACTATTTTCATAGTGTTATTATTATATCAGATATTAGTTATAGAAATTTAAATTATCTTTAATTAATGATAGACTTGTTTTGAATTTTACATTTCTTCATTTATTAGATAACATGTTTTTCATTTGTTGTTTTTATCATCTTCTATTCTTTTAGCATTCATTTTATTATCGCTTTGGTTAATTTGATTAGTTTCATATTCGTCATTATTTATATGATGAAATAATAGTTTATTGATTTGTCTTAAGTGTAATATTCATTTGACCTAATTAGTTTAGCTGGTAAAACAATACAGTAGTTGATGTGTATGATAAGTATTTTATAATAATGGATTTGAATATGACACAAATTAAAATAAATGAATTGATTAACAAAAGTAATTATCAACTACATTAATAATTAAAAGTATTGATATTAATTTCAATTACTTTCTCTTTTGGTTTCTTCCTCTTAACATATTCATTAATATTTTATTTCATTTATAACTGAATAAAAATTAATCTAATCTAATTTTAAAATAAATAACAAAAATATAAAAATAGAAAAGTAACAATGCAGAACTTAAAAATAATTAAAAAAATAAAAAGAAAAAAGAGAAATATACTAATAAATAATAATAAAATACTACATTAAATATAATTTATAATCTCATTTTTATTTACAATAAACTTTTCTGATTGTAAAAATAAGTAAAGATGGACTCATAAAAGAAGTTATAAATAAAAGAAGAAAACAACTTTATAAACTTCTCTTTAAAATACCAAACCAAAAAAAATTTTACATTGAAATTCTTTTTTGTTTAGTATTTTTAATTACAATCATGTGTTGACTGATTGACTTTCTTTATGAAAGATTTCAGCAACTTTTATAACATTTGAGGGGTTGCAGATACTGATCGAATAATAGTTTTTCTGCTTCCATTTCGTGGTTTGGCTTTAACTACTGCTGGGAAAACAGGTGATGTACTTTGTGAGTCAAAGACAACTTGGCTTTCTTTTTGATGGAATGCTTTATCTGGTGTTAAGAAGCGATATTGAGAATATTTAATCCCTGAATAGATATCAAGATCTTCTTCACCACTTTCCATCACTTGACTAACCTCGTCTTTCTTTTCCTCTTCATCATCATATTCCCATGGCATAAGCCCACTGGAAACTTTAATCTTTCTTCGACTCAGTATACCACTTTCATACATCCTTTCTCTTCTTTTACCATTTTTCTTACCACTTTCTTTCCCATTATTTGCCGTATTAGGTGGTAATGAATAGGATGGATAGTCACCAACACTTCTATATTCAATACTCAATTGTTCTAATAAATCTCTTAATGGTTTTAATTGTGATTTGACATCACTTAACTTTTGAATTCTATCATGGCTATGATCATCCTCCACTAATACTAAAGGAGTATCACAATTAGGACAAAACATTCGGTGAGTAGTTGTATCATAATAATCCATCGCATCGATATATGAATACTTATATTCGTCTCGTGGACACATGTATACAGCATCCTCTACCATATGTGAGTCATTATAACTATTAACAATTTTACAATATTTAAATACAATGTTTTCAATAGTTTCTTGATATTTAATAATATACGCCGTTGAATTTTTTCTTCGGTCTCCATTCATTTCAGAAAATTGAAGCTCACCAATAAATTTTTGTTCCTGTAATTGTTTTAAACAATTAGAAACTTTATTTACTGGCATCCCAATTGCTTCACTTATACTTTTATCTGTTTGGTATGACTGGCAGCTTTGTAATTGAATTAAGACAAGTAATGAAGATGAGTCTAATATCAGTCCAACTGCCGTTTGTAAAATTTTTTCTACAAGATTAAATTGTGGTTTTCTCGTATCAGTGGACATTAATTATGATTTTCAAGTTTTTTTATTTTTTATCAAATTACCCTTCAGCCAACCAAAACGATTTTTAATTTTTTTTATGTTATTTTTATTTCTTTTTTATTATATTTTTATAATTCTTCAATTTTCTTTATTTCTTATAAGTCATTTTCTTAAAATAGATTTTCTTTGAGTTTTGTAATCATCTATTTTTTAATTTGTTTTTGTCACAATTTATCATTTCTATTAAATACTCTCTGTTTTCATGACATTAATGTTGTTTGTTGGTGTTACTTAATTGTGATAATTTAGAAATACTTTCATTATTTTGAACTCTTTAAATATTTAACATAAATTTATAAATATTTAATATTATAAATAACAAAACAATACTTAGAAATGAGAAAGAAATGATAGAATAAAATATTAACATAAACAATGAATCACATGAATGATACAAATTGAATGATATATAAAAGAAATCAGAAATAAATAAAACATTAAATGAGTAAATATACATTACAGATATTAGAATATATTTAAATACAACATAATCATGTGTTGATATTTGATAAAATGAATGAGTATAAAATATATTAAATGAACAATGAAATAGAACAACACCATCATATGTTACACTTACTGATACATAAATAATTAATAGAGAAACAAAAAAAGAATCAAAATAAAATAATAAGAATACAATAATTGAATGAAAAAGAAAAATAAGAAGAATATTTAATGAAAAATCTATTCAAAATGATATGAAACAATTAACAATTAAATTAGATGATGAAAGAGATAATAAAACAATAAATGAAATAGAATATAAAAGAGAAAATAAAATAAATATAACAGAATAAATAACAACAAAGATAATAACTAAAATGAAAGAATAAAAAACAAATAATAGAAAAGAATAAAGAAATGAATTATTACATAACATCATATTTTAATGATTTACAAATACAATCTAGTAAATATGAAGAATTACATGAATAAATGATAAATAACAATGAACAACAACTAAATGATAATGATATGATAAAAAGAAAATAAGAAATAAGAAAATAATAATAAATAAACAAAATGAACAAATGATATAACAATACATAGAAATGAAGAAAGAATAAATGAAATTAAAATAATTAATAGACATACACATCTTTGAAGAGAATAAATTGATAATCAAATATCAAATATTTTATTAGATAAAATCAAATAAAATATAATAATATAAATACATAAATAGTTATAAGATTAAGAATAACAAAGAATAACATTAACAATTGAAATGATAATAATAATGAAGTTGAACAATTATATGAAAGAAAAGAAAATTATACATCTATTACACAAAATATAATTAAATAAATTAATATTAAATTAATTAAAAGATGAAATAAATGAAATAGAGAAAATAAGAATAAAATAACAATAAGAAGTAGAATAAATAAACAACAAACAATAAAATAATAAATAGAGATATTGTTAATCTCCCCTGAACAATGAACAATATAAAATAAAATTAATAATAATTAATTAACTAATTTTTATGAATAATTGTATTTTCATTTATATTTCATTTTCATTTATATCATTATTATGTGATATTATCATTAATTATGATGAAATGTTTTGTTATTTTTTATTTTTATTATTTTTATTCTTTTCTTGTTTTTATTATTGTTATTTAAAACAATAAAAATGAAATGACATTTATTAAAATAATAAATAAAATGAAGTGTTATAAATGTGTATTTAATTATTTAATCATATGATTTTAATCTGATATTCATTAAATTAAAATGGAATCAGTGATGAATAACCAATTAATTAAAGAAGTAGTAGAAACACTTCCAAATATTTATCAATCAATTGATGATACTACTAAACATTATCATTATTATTTAGGTTGTATTAAAAATGAAATATTTGAGAAACAAGATAATGAAACATATGAACAAGCAATTAAAAGAGGAGAAGGAATATTTGATAGAATTGATGAAATAGTTAGAAGAAGAAGAATAGTAATAGAAAAAGGACAAGAAACAATAAATAAAATAGAGATAATGAAAAATAAAATGAACAAAATAATAGAAGAATGTAATGATGATTCAGAGGCAGTTAATAAAGCTAAGAATGAACTAATAGATAAAATCATTCACATTGAAGAAATGGATATGGAAGATAAAATTAAACCATTAGAAGAAGAAATTAACAATATTAAAACAAGATTTAATAAAAAGAAAGAAGAATGGTTACACAAT